CTATCAGCTGTAGGAGTTCTTTGGTAGAGTTTTTGGGGTCGCTTATGTACGCTATCATATCGTCAGCAAATAATTTCATCCTTTCCAATTCGAATCCCCTTGATCTCCTTATGTTGTCTTATTGCTATTGCTAGAACTTCAAGCACTATATTGAAGAGGTATGGAGAGAGTGGACAGCCTTGTCGTGTTCCTGAGTTTAGCGGAATGGCTTTGAGTTTCCCTCCATTCAATTTGATGTTAGCTGTAGGCTTGCTGTAAATAGCTTTTATTATATTTAGGTATGATCCTTGTATCCCCAATCTCTCCAACACCTTTATCATAAAGGGGTGTTGAATTTTGTCAAATGCTTTTTAGGAATCTAATGAAATGATCATATGGTTTTTTTCTTTCAGTTTATTTATATGATGGATTACATTGATAGATTTGAGTATGTTGAACCAGCCCTGCATCTCTGGGATGAAGCCTACTTGATCATAATGGATAATATTTCTAATGTATTCTTGGATTCGATTTGCCAGTATTTTGTTGAGAATTTTTGCGTCGATGTTCATGAGTGAGACTAGCCTGTAATTCTCTTTCTTGGTTGTGTCTTTGTGTGGTTTGGTATCATGGTGACTGTAGCTTCATAAAAAGAGTTTGGCAATGACTGTTATGTTTCTATATTGTGAAATACACTAAGGAGTATAGGTATTAGCTCTTCTTGGAAGTTCTGGTAGAATTCTGCATTGAAACCATCTGGTCCTGGGCTTTTTTTGGTAGGGAGGTTTTTGATAACAGCTTCTCTTTCTTTGCTACTAACAGGTCTATTTAGATTTTTCACCTGGTCTTGATTTAACTTTGGTAAATGGTACTTACCTAAAAACAAGTCCCTTTCTTGTACATTTTCAACTTTATGGCATATAGGCTTTTGTGGTAAGATCTAATGATTCTCTGAATTTCCTCTGTGTCTGTGGTTATGTCCCCTTTTCATTTATGATCTTATTAATTTGCGTGTTCTCTCTCTGCCGTTTGATTAGTTTGGATAGGGGTTTGTCAATCTTGTTGATTTTCTCCAAGAACCAGCTTTTTGTTTCATTGATTCTTTGGACTGTTTTCTGTGTTTCTATTTTGTTGATTTCAGCCTTCAGTTTGATTATTTCCAGTCTTCTACTCCTGGGTGATTTTGCTTCTTTTTTTCCAGACCCTTCAGCTGTCCTGTTAAGTCTCCAATGTGTGCTTTCTCTGTTTTCTTTAATTGGGCACTTAGTGCTATGAACTTTCCTCTTAGCACTACTTTCATTGTGTCCCATAGGTTTGAGTATGTTGTGTCTTTATTTTCATTAAATTCAAGGAAGACTTTAATTTCTTTCTTTATTTCTTCCTTGACCCAGGGGTGATTCAGTAGTTGGCTGTTCATCTTCCATGAGTTTGTAGGCTTTCTGGGGTTAGAATTGTTGTTGAATTCTAACTTTATTCCATGGTGATCCGACAAGACACAGGTGGTTACTAATTTTTTTTGTATCTGTGGAAGTTTGCTTTGTTACCCAGTATGTGGTCAGTTTTCGAGAAGGTACCATGAGCTGCAGAGAAGAAGGTATATTCTTTCCTATTTGGGTGGAATGTTCTATAGATGTCTGTTAAGTCCATTTGATTCAATACCTCCAATAAATCTCTTAACTCTCTGTTTGGTTTCTGTCTGATTGACCTGTCCATTGGTGAGAGAGGAGTGTTGAAGTCTCCTACTATTAGCTTGTGATGACTATTAGGTTTGATGACTGCCTTGAGTTCTAGAAGAGTTTCTTTTATATATGTGGGTGCCTTTACATTAGGGGCATAGATATTCAGGATTGAGACTTCTTCCTGATGAGTTGTTCCTGTTATGAGTATGAAATGTCCATCTCCATCTCTTCTGATTGATTTTAGTTTGAAGTCGATTTTGTTAGATATTAGAATGGCCACACCTGCTTGTTTCTTAGGTCCATTTGCTTGGAAAACCTTTTCCCAATGCTTTACTCTGAGTAGGTGTCTGTCTTTGTGGTTGAGGTGTGTTTCTTGTAAACAGCAGAATGTTGGATCCTGTTTTCGTATCCAGTCTCTAAGTCTGTGCCTCTTTATAGGTGAATTGAGTCCATTGATATTAAGAGATATTAATGACCATTGGTTGATGACTCCAGTCATTTTTTGGGGGGGTAATAGAGTGTATGTGTTTTCCTTCTTTGAATTGTGCTAGTGAAGGGTCGCTAGATGTCTGAATTATTGTAGTCAGTGTTGGCAATGTTGGATTCCTTGGGATGTAATTTTCCTTCTAGTATTCTCTGTAAGGCTGGATTAGTAGTTACGTATTGTTTAAATTTGTTTTTATCCTGGAATATTTTGTTTTCTCCGTTGATAGTGAACAAAAGCTTGGCTGGGTAAAGTAGTCTGGGCTTGCATCCATGGTCCCTTAATTTCTGCAGTACCTCTATCCAGGACCTTCTGGCTTTCATGGTTTCTATAGAGAAGTCTGGTGTAAGTCTGATAGGTTTACCTTTATAGGTTACTTGACCTTTTTCCTTTGCAGCTCTTAATATCCTTTCTTTAATCTGACTGCTTTGTGTTTTGATTATTATATGGCGAGGGGATGTTTTTTTCTGATCCAGTCTATTCGGTGTTCTGTATGTTTCTTGCACCTTCATAGGAATATCTCTCTTTAGCATGGGAAAGTTTTCTTCTATAATTTTGTTGAATATATCTTCTGGACCTTTGATCTGCAATTCTTCTCCTTCTTCTACTCCTATTATTCTTAGATTTGGTTTTTTTTTATTATGTCCCATATTTCCTGAATGTTTTGTGATGAGAATTTGTTGGATTTGCTGTTTTCTTTGTTCAGGGCGTTTATTTTCTCTATGGTGTCTTCATAATCTGAGATTCGTTCTTCTATCTCTTGTATTCTATTGGTTAAGCTTGATTCTGTAGTCTCCGTTCGTTTACCTAGATTTTCCATATCCAGCCGGCCCTCGGTTTGTGTTTTCTTCACTGCCTCCATTTCAGTTTTCAATTCTTGAACTGATTCCATTACCTGTTTGATTGCTTTTTCTTGGTTTCCCAGGGTATCATTTACGAATTTACTCATTTCTTCAAACTTTTTGTTATATTTGTCTTCCATTTCTTTACTCATTTCTTCCATCTTTTTGGTAAATTTCTCTTCTAATTCTTTAAGAGAGTTATCCATAACCTGTTTAAGAGACTCTATTGCTTTCATAATGACACTGTTTTCCACTTCTTCCGGAATAGGGCGTTCAAGTCCTTCTGTCGTAAGATCGCTGGGATCTGGTGTTTTCATGTTGTTTTTCAGATTGTTGGAGGAATTCTTACTTTGGCGCCTGCCCATCTCTTCCTTCAGATGCTCTCCAATGGCTCTTCCCTCCGCTGGGTCTTCTTCTACTGGATTAGTGCCCCTTGCTATCCAGGAATCACTTTGCCTGCAGCCTTAGCTTGCTGCAGGCAGACTATTAGAACAAAGGGACTTCCTTCCCTTTGCACTCACCACCTGTCCCGAACCGCAGTGCCCACCCCGGCTGAGATGGGGGAATTTAAGCCCCGAAAAAGGGAGAGAGGAGGGGAGGGGTTCGAGCCCTAAAGCTGGGATGGCTTAGCAGGAGAGAGGGATTAGCTGGGGGAAGCTGCCCCTTTGGAGTAGCCAGGGAGATAAGGATGGCGGGAATATTGTGTGTACCTAAGCGGACTAGTATGGTGGTCAGCACACTTACCCCTCCACAGGATCAGAGCCCCTCGCTGGTCAGAAGATTCCCTGCCTGCGGTCTTATCTTGCTGCAGGCCGGCTATCAGAACAAAGGGACTCCCGTCCCTTTGCACTCACCGCCTGCCCCGGCCCGCGGTGCCCACCCCGGCTGAGATGGAGGAATTTAAGCCCCCCTCCACAGGATCAGAGCCCCTCCTCCTTAGATATATTTTGACATAAGGATCTCTACTATATCTACCTTTGCCTGAAAAAGAGAATCCATCAAATTCGGTGTCCTGAGTTGTTTTAAAAACATGGTGTATGAGGCTGGAGAGATGATGGCTCAGTGGGTAAGAGCACTGACTGCTCTTCCAGAAATCCTGAGTTCAATTCCCAGCAACCACATAGTGGCTCACAACCATCTACTGCTCTCTTCGGACCTGCAGTCATACATGCTGGCAGAACCATGTATACATAATAATTAAATAAATCTTAAAAAAGAACAAGGTATGCACCTATGCACGGCATAGTCACAACACTATCATTAGTAGAAGTGGTGATAAGCCATTTCAAACACTTTTCATCATATATGAACAGCATGCCTGTTACTCTTAAGGCAGACTTGGGTTCTGTTGCAAGCATCCATATGGTGGTCAATGCTATCTGTGACACCACATCCAGGAGATCTGATGCCCTTTTCTAATTTGATGTGCACCAAGCAAGTAAAGGATACACATACATGCAGGCAGGCAAAATGCTCACAAAGAAAACAAAAATGAAAAAAATCTAAAACAAAACATTTTAAAATATGTTCATGATTAATCTTTCTCATGATAATCTTTCTCATCACTGCTGATGATTCAAATTATGCAACTAAGGGCCACAAAGATCCAAACCTTAAATGTAGGGTAATTCTGAAGTAAATATGCTTTGAGATACAAGAAAAGTCTGTAATTTATAGTGTGTGTGTGTGTGTGTGTGTGTGTGTGTGTGTATGCAGTGCACATGTCATGGAGAAATAAAACAGACTACTCTGCGATGCTAAGTGGTTCTATGGAAGGAACAATGTCTATAGAATGGTCTATAGAATGCAGGGGATTAAAAACATGAATCCAGTATGAGATTCAGTAGCCAGAACATCATTTAAAATGATGATAAAATGAACAAAAGAACTTTCACTTCTACCTGAAAGCATCACAGGATTTATCTCTATTGTTCCTTCACAGAGCTTTTCCATCTGCTTAGACATCACAGAACATTGAGAAAATGGTGGAAATTCTCCAGGGAGTCTGACACATACCTGTCTCATTGGAAATCTCGTTTTCTGGACAACGAGTGCAGTCATAGCAACAGGTAGCCTTGCCCTCTTGGGGGGATTTTCTGAATCCTGGAACACAGCTCTCACTGCACACAGACTGAGGAAGCTGATATTTAAATAAGGAAGAGAGAATACTCAGGAGTGTAGAGTTTTAAAATAAGAAAAAAATAAAATAAGTAAATAAACAAAAATGAGAACAACAGTGTTCATTGCTATCTACTTCCTGACTAAGATACAACATGACTCTCTTTCTCAGGCTCTTACCAACATGATTGCCTAAGTCATTATGGACTGCTCACACCAAGTATGATACTAGCAAACTCTGTGTTCTTAAGTTAGGTCTGCCTTTTAGTTTTGGGGGCATTTAACAAATTGCTTTCTCTTTCAGTCCCAAGACATGTAATTAACCCATATTTCTATGCCCTCCAGGCTTCTGTGTATATCTAGGTGCCTGAAAGCATAATGACCATTCACCAATATTTAATAATCTGGGAGTCAAATTAATGCTTTTGTCAGGTAGTTTCAGGACAGGGATGAAATCTTAATAAATAGACACTGTATTTATACCTGGAAATAAGTGCCCATAGGAATAAAAATATGGAGCGACAAATAATCCCAGCATAAGGCAGCAAAATTCCTCATATGACAGCAGTTTTGTGCATATAGATGGGCACCGAGTAAGCAACCAACAATCATTACATCTGTAAGTAAATGTTTATTGACATAGAGATCAAAACAACGAGATAGATCTAACCCACCTCTGTAAATCCTATAGCCCACTGAATCATATGGTCAGACAAAAGTAGCTCTTGTCCCTGTGGAGCTTTTGGAGAAAATGTTCCAACTTTCATCTTTTGCCTGAGACTCTCTGGAAAATTCCAAAAGTTGAGAATATCATATTCTGCATCTAATTTCCTTTGTGAATTCAAAACCACAAGGTTTCCAGCACCATTTCTGAAATGGATATCCTTGAGAAAAGGGTGAAGCTAAAAAAGATGCAAAATATGATGGCAAATTTATTCCCAGAAGTTCAACAGAACCCAGTGAAGTAATGGGTCTCATTGTCCTACATCCCTGACATTAGTTCCAAGCTATACAAAGCTAGTGACAGTTTAATGGATGAAGAACAAAAATTAACATATTATAATGTTTCTGTACAGCCATCTATCTTCAAAAGAATGAACTGACACACACATACAATACCAAAACACTAACAAAAGATTTAATCAATGAATGTTGATTCCAGAAAATGTTCACAATTGTGAAGTGCTAGCTATATCCAAATACTTAAGAGATCTCAAATCTTTGGTTTGTAAATTGTGTTTTTATATTTACAAATGTGATGAAATGGTCATTTAGGTAACATAAACATAGCTTCAGAATTTGAACTATAAGGATCTAGAAGCAACTAGACCAGTTAGGATCTAGTTCTCTTATTTCTGTTCTGAAATATGCTTATAGATAATTGAGTTTCAAATGAGATATTATTATGAGAAGATTCTGAGATCAATTGTAACACAAGGTAGATAATGAAATGTATACAATTAAACCTTTTGTTGCCCCCCATTCATCATGAACAATAACAGATGTGTCTACAATGACTTCAAGATAACTAATTACATACAGTCTCCCAGGTATATTTTGGCAAAATCTGCCACAGTATACAATCATGTACTGAGTGATTTTATAAAACATCAGTATGTCACAGAGTTATTAATAAAATATACAAGTAGAGAAATTACCTCCCAAGGGTAGGTATTTTCCTCCCCATTTTCATGGGGGTCACTTTGTACTTGTTTGAGAGATATCTCATGGAGACTGTGTGCCACAGCATATACAGAATTATATACATTGTAACTCTCTTCAGTCATGTCCACTTCCCAAATATTTCTAGGCAACATTTCCAAGGAAACATTAGATAGACAGTTACCCAAAATTTTACAATCAGGTCCAGAAAAAGAGCAATTGAAGTGTGTGTTCCACAACACAGCAAGAAAATAGTCTTCTGGGTATTTGGAAGGGTTGTATGTTTGGATAAACTTCCTAAACTCAGGTATCTCAGCACAGTAGTGTGAAAAAATGAGACTCCCATGGAATGGATCAAATATGAAAGATTTGGAAACAGCTGTTGAATCCCATTGTGATGTCATGACCCAGACTTTCCAGTTTGATAAATGATTTGCTATATTTATGATTATACCATGTAAAGATTCAGTTTCACCATAAATAATAACCACATTTGCAGATGATTTTAGTATCTGCAAATAAGTTTTGTGGTCAAAGGAAACCAAGTTGTCTGGAATCATTTCTACAAATGCTACACACACTCTGTTCCTGTCCTTCTCTCCTCTCAAGTCTGAGAGAATCTCAGCCCCCTTGTGGTCATCTATGAGAACCAGTCCCACCCAGGTCCAGCTGAAATGAACCATCAAAATGACAATGCCATGTGACAAGGATGTGTCCTTGGGTGCTGTCTGGTAGAGAGAAGAGAATTCGCCTTTGTCAGTTAGGATAGTGTCAAATGGCCCAAAAGCAAGCTGAAGGAAATTTGAGAGGAAATAAAAGTGAAAGCATTGATATGGAGCATGAACTGAAACCTAAGTAGGCACATTGTATTGGTAGAGATTAACTTCTGTTCGTGGTGTTTAAAACTCTCATCTTTTTTTCTGATGACACTTAAAGCAAAATTTTTAAAACAAGACACAGCATTTCCTAACCCTCCACTATAGGCTCTAACCTCTTCTTGTTTGTCTCAAGCACAGTATATGAGGCTATATAACCAAATGTCTCATTATTCTCTATGGCAGATGAATGGCACAGCCTCAGTGGTTCACAGTTGAAAACACCTGAAATGTCTGCAGCTTAAGACAGGTCTCTCCTTCTCACACAGACATGCCCTCACCTGTGGATATTTGTAGAGATTCAGCAGTCTCCCAATATGTGCAGATGTTGCCCATGATGTTCCTGTAAGTAAAGCAGCAGCCTTGTTGTGCCTTCTACATGTGTAATTGGGAATGCTTTTTCCCATTCCTGTGAGGCAATGAAAAGTTTCCTTCAGAATATTCCATTGCTTGCTAAAGACATTATACAGATCAAATCCTAGAGATGTGTTGGGTAGAATGTGAGTGTTTCTGTTGATCTCCTCAATGGCAAATATGAAGGCCAAAGAAAACTGGTAGTTCCTTGCCTTGAACCTGCATAGAGGGATTATCAATATTTATGAAAGAAACTCAAAGTATACAATCTAACAGTATGATTCAATGGTTCTTATACATTCTATGCTTTATATCTACAAACAATAATTTTGTCTTCATGATGTTTATAATTTGAATGATGGTGTATATAGTGATATTTTACAATTTTATTTTGTAAATTTTAGTGTTTTGTTTTGTTTTGTTTTCTTTTGCTTTAACATTAATACATTTTTTTTCCTGTCATAATTACTGGTTATTTAATTACCAAAAAGAACCAAATGGATCTAAATTTTCTGGACAAGAAAGTTGACTTGAACTGATATCACCTGTGGATTCTTCTGGTAAGTAGAAACACATGCAAAACTCCCAAATTCTTTGAAACTTTAGTAAAATAACCTACAGATGGAATCTTGCAGCCTTAAGGGCCCCCTTGTTCTGTACTATATAAACCCAAAGGCCCCCACACCATGTTCACTCTGTCTGTACATAGATGGAGAGACTATAGCCTTTCAGTTGTTCTAATTAAGGACCAATGATGCTTATGAGGATGTCTGCCTGTGTATTAACCCCAAAGCAACATTTGGATCTCAACATGGGAGGTATTTGAGGTTACCCCACCTACCCACATCTCTGTGAACAACCCTGCCTCTCTCTGATTGCCATCTCACTTTCTGTTTTGAGACCCAGACGATGAGTGGCAGAATGACAGAGTGAGCTTCCTATGGTTTATCAGTTTACAGTTACGACTTGAATCCTCTAGGGCTTTTGTGTGCTCAGATTTTATATTTTCTCTAATCTTCCTGCCTCTTTCTCTTTGCCTTCACTATGTTTTTACATCCCAAAGTGAAGTGGATTACACAAGAACCTTGAATGCCCTGATAGTATATGTGATTATTTTACCCTGCAGCTGAGTTCACCTTGAACAGAAAATATCACCTTTATTCATTGCACACATAACTTGAGGATCCTCATCAAGATGGAGGCAACCATATGACTTGGCTACCAACTTTGCTAATGGTATCATTAATAAAAAAGCATGTCATGTGAATACAGCACCATCTTGGTTAATGTCACCACATGGAGTAAGCCAAAATGTGTAGAATCCGGCCACCCACCCAGCTAGCTTTACCCAAAATAATTACACGGAAACTGTATTAATTCAAACATTGCCTGGCCCATTACCTCCAGCCTCTTATTGGCTAACTCTCACATATTGATTCAACCCATTTCTAATAATCTGTATCTCACCACGAGGTCGTGGCTTACCGGGAAATATTCAACATGTCTGACCTGGCAGCTTCATGGCGGGCAGCTCTCTGCCTCTGCTTTCTTCCTCCCAGAATTCAGTTCTGTATTCCCCACCTACCTATGTTCTGACCTATCAGGCCAGGCAGTTTTCTTTATTAATTAACCAATGAAAGCAACAGATAGATAGAAGACTCTCCTACATCAAAAATGGTGACCACCATTGAAGTTCTTGGTTTCATTGAATCCAAAGTTTCCCAACACCCATTTTATATTGGTTCATGGAAAAAATTTTCACACCTCTAAAATTTTATTTTGTAAATTTTAGTGCTTTGTTTTGTTTTCTTTTGCTTTAACATTAATACATTTTGCCTGACATAATTACTGGCCTCCTAACCGACCCCAATTAAAACTCACAAATCCCAACAGAGTCTTAAAGGATGACCTGACAAGTGTTAAACAAGTTGTAGCCAGGAAAGCCCTACTGTGCCAGGCTCTATTGGGTCTCACTGCTAGTTCTGACCGATAAGTCCAAACCAATTTTCCTCTTAAGTGAGAAAAATATTCGTTGCCCCCATACTCATTTGTTCTGAGTGTCTGCTTTTGTTTCTGCACAAACTAATAATATATTTATTGAAGAACCCTATATTAACTTTTCCTTTTACTATGAAAATTGTAAAAATTTAATCTTAATAAGACCTAATTGTTTTAGTAGAATTTTTCTTTTGTGTTATTTAGGTAGAAACTGTCCATATAGAGTTATGATTTGTTTTTTGCATCATGTACTTAAAAGCACAATAAATATAAGGAAATACTTCTGTAAACTTGGCCCTAGTTCATTTTATTTTAGCAATACCCAAATTAAAACTAATATTAAAAACAAATATGTATTTAATCAATGTGTGTGAAAAAATAAAAATTACTATGCTCCAGAATACTTCTGTGGTAAATTAACTTCAGGTTTTACATACAAATTTAATGTCCACATTTAAGTTGAAGATATAAGGAATCACAACATTCTGATCAAAATGGTACTTATCCTAACTGTATTCTACACTGTGTTTTGTATCCATTAAGGTTACCAATTACATTTAAGATATTATTGTTCCTAAACCAAGATATGTTACTCATATTGCAATATTATCATACATTCATATACAAATATGTTATATCTGTGCTTTAAATGTGATATATATGTATATACACATATATAAATGCATATACATATAGAAATATTTTAATGATTATAAGGATACTTTCAGAAGAAAGCCTCATTAAAAATAAATGAAGTAGTATGTGTTTGAAGACCCAACACAGAGATTTTGAACTATCTGTAAAGTTAAACAGCAGCCAGCTTTTACCTCCAACTCTGGCAGACCAAAATGACAACAGCAGGACATCTTAAGTATTAATGAGAAGATAACTTGACAACATTTTAAAAGGTGGGATGGGATATCTATTTAGGTAGGGACAAATCATCTTCATACATACTCACTAGCTCTGTATCACCACACTCTCATCAGAAAGACCTTATTTATTTTCTATAAATAAGTCTCATGAATTCATGGTTTCCCTATGATCAAAACTTATGAGAATGAAACTTTGTGTCCTTGAGTACTAAAGAGAAAGGATAGACATTACTTGAAGATCGCCATTGAAAGAAGATTCTCACAATAGATAGTACATTTATTCTTTAAACCTTTTCATGGTGTTTTCATTTGGAAATTAATGATAACAAAAGGAGATATGATTTTGTGTTAGTTTGGCAAGGGGTGACCTTGCAATGGCTATTTTTAGATATCTACCTCATTACATATCACTTGTATCTTAGAGGTAGGGAAACATTCTTTAATCTAGATATTGTAGACACTTCCTTAATCTAGATCTTGAGGCACAGAGACACACGTTTAATGTGCATTTAACTCTGATGGATGCCTATAGAAAGACATGGGAGAAGAAAGTTTTTGCTCTTTGCCCACTAACAAGCCCATTCCTTCACTGGCATTAGAACCTACTTCTTTAGATTCCAGAATATATTTCAAAATATGTGGCTTTGAAATATTTAAACCATGGATTTACCTTGAACTTCTACAACTGATACTCACAGGAGTATCCATGCAAATGTGTAAAGTAAAAGGAAAAAGAATCGATTAAGTAGTAGTGCACAAATAATAACTACACTGGCAAAAGACAGAAAATAGATTTTCATGTGTAGAATAAAAATAAATAACATATGTAAAAAGAAAAAATAATATTCATAGAATTTGAAAGCTGTTTTCAAGAACTATATGTATTCATGCTACACAATATTATACACAAATCAAACACATACATACACACATACACACATTTGAAGAACTAATAAAGAAAATAGAATGTTCTCATCGTGAAGAAATGACTAATATTCTGTAGAAAGATAATCTAATTATTTAAATACATTGAAATAAATATAAATGTATAATGAAAAAGTAAATTTAAAAATTATTTAAAATTACAAAACATTATAAGAACAAAATAATTGTAAGAACCTTATACACTGTGGTAGAAAATCTCCATAACAAGATGTAGTCTTCTGGAAAAGGAGCCTGAAATGGAATAACTGATTCATAAGTCATTTTATTTCTATTTTAAAAGTTTGAAGAAACTCTAAATATTTTCCTTAACATCTGTAGACATTTTCATGCCCAACTGCAGAAAATAAGGATGTCTCTTCACTATCAGCCTTTCAAATACTTGATTTGAAAGTTAGACTTCTTAATGATAATCATACTGTGATAAACTGGTACTTCTATATAATTGTGTTTTTCTTTAAACACTACAGGAAGAGTCAACTGTTTTTGTTATGTAGGAAACAAAATAAGCAGTTGAGGACACACAGCCTTACATAAAAATTGCTGCTGTTAGGCTGGGTATCAACATGTGGTGGAGTGAAATTAAACTATAATCTTCCACATTTTATAGGAATCAATTCAAAAGGAATCACAGACCTTAATTTAAAAATGAAATACTGAAAGTGATAGAATGCACACATAATAATTGTCAAGACATTGGTGTAGGCAAGAACATACTGAAGAGAATGCCCATGCCACACACACTATCCTCAGGTATAAAAAGATGAAATTACACAAAATGAATATGCAACTAGGAAAAATGAAAACGTATTCCATAAAGCAAAGGAAACTATCATCAGAGCACCATATATGGAAGAAAACACTTTCCAGTTGTTTCCTAGATGTTGCACCAATGTCAAAAGGAATTGATTAACTGAAGAACCTTCGTCCAACAACAGATGGAAACAGAGACAGAGTCCAACACTGGAGCACTGGACTGAGCTCCTAAGGTCCAGTTGAAGAGTAGAATGAATGAGAATATGAGCAAAGAGGTCAAGACCATGAAGGGTTCATCCACTGAAACAGTTTACCTGAGCTAGTGGGAGCTCACCAACTCCAGCTGGACCAGAAAGGAACAAGCATAGGAACAAACTAGTTTCTCTAAAAGTGGTTGACAGTTGTATGGCTGGGGCAGACTGAGGGGCCACTGGCAGTGGTACTGGGATTTATCTCTACTTCATTTACTAGCCTTTTGGGATCCTATTCTCTTTGGATGTATACCTTGCTCAGCCTAGATGTAGTAGGGAGGGCCTTGGACCTTCCACCAAGCTAAGTGCCCTACCCTCTCTTAGGATTAGAGGGAGCTGGGGTGGGAGGGTATGTGGAGGAAATGAGAGGAGAGAAGAGAGTGGGAATTTCGGTTGCTATTTTTTTTAAACCTAATAAATGAATAATGTTTAAAAGAAAGAAGTTGTAAATCAAGGAAATAAAGCCTCCAACCAACTAATGGGATAATGACATTAACAGACCATGAACAAAAGAAAAACACATACATCCAGCAGCTACTTTTAAAGGATTTCAAAATCATTGATAATCAGGTAAATGTAAATGTTAAAAAATTAAGCATTGATTGTTTCCAGTATTTTGAGTAGAGTGATGGTGTTTCAAGACACAAGCTAAATCACTAGGAAGAGATGAAGAACAGGGATGTACTCTATGAATTTCTAAATGTTTCCTGATTCACAGTATTTCAATTGAAAACCAAAGAAGATAGAAATGTTAAAAATTAGGTTAAAATGAGAATAGGAAATACTGGAAAAATTAATGGGTATTTAAATCATTGATATTTTTGAGAAAATCAAATCACACTGAATTCATATTATTAATAAAGGAAAATGGGTATAAGAATTTACACGCTTATAACTATAATTAGACTGTGGGTATACATTCTAGTTTGGAATTTATATTTTTATTTTCACTAAAAGGAAATATAAAAATATTTGAAATGAATATAACATTATAAAAAATTTTAGAATAACCACAAAGCAAATGATATCCTTTAACATTCATGTTAATATCCTTTAACATGAAACTTTCTCAAGAGAAAGTACCTAATTAGAAATATTATAAAATCCAAATTATCAAGAAATATATTCTCCATGAAACTGAAAACCTTCTGAAATGCAAAGGACACTGTCAGAAGGACAAAACAGCAGTCCACAGAATGAGGATGTATCATTACCAATTCTACATCCAACAGAGGGCTTATATACAAATATATAAAACTAGAAAACTAGATATAAAAACTCAAATAACCCAATTAAAAAATGGGGTACAGACATAAAAAGAAAATTCTCAACAGAAGAATCTCAAATGACTGAGAATCACTTACAAACTGTTCACATTCTGAGTGACCAGGGAAATACAGATCAAAACAACACTAGTATTCCAAATGACACTTCTCAGAATGGCTAAAATAAAAGACTTGAGTAACAGCTCATGCTGGTAAAGATGTAGAACAAGGTTCGGAAAACTCTTCCACTGATGGTGAAGTGCAAACTTGTACAACCATTTTAGAAATCATCATGGTTGTTTCTCACAAAATTAGAAATAGATCTACTCCAAGACCAAGCTGTACTACTCCTTGAAATAAACCCAAAGGACACTCCACCATACCACAAGGAGACTTGTTCAAGTGTGTACATAGAAGCATTGTTTTTAGTAACCATGAGCTAGGAATAACCTAGATACCCTTCAACTGAAGAATGGATACAAAAAAAAATGAGTTACATTAACACAACTGAGCAACTCAGCTGTTAAAAACAAAAACATCATGAAATTTCCTGGCAAATGGATGGAACTAGAAAAGATAATCCTGAGTGAGGTAACATGAACCTAGAACAACAAACATGAATATTAGCCACAAATGATAACCATGCTACAATCCACAGACCTATAATAGTTAGTCACAAGATGGATCAGGAGGCAGTGGGGAAACTTGCATATGTTTCATGTTCTGAATAAAATAGATATACTCATAATTATATTGCTAAAATGACACATTGACTTGTCATGTCAACCCTACCTTTAAGTAAATGTGAAAAATGAGGAGACTGTCTGTTTGTAATGCCTTAGGATATTATTGTCCTTTTACAAAATGACTTATGACTTTAAAATGTACCTGACCAGGAAACTAAATACAATGCTGCTCAGGCTTAAATCAGCATTAATATGAAAAGGATATATTTTCCTTTAAGTATGTGTGTGTGCATGTGTGTATGTCTGTATATACTGTAAAATAAATATTTACATACATGTATTAAACATTTAGATATATGTGTCTGTATATACATAAAACAATATGTGTATGTGTATGTATATATAAAGTGCTTACTTATCATTATTTAAATTATGACCTCATGAAAGTAAAATAAAATAAGAGATTAAGGCACAAAAAATTATTCCTGGCCACATATTTCATGTAATTTTTCTTATGATTATAAGAAAGAACTTGCATATGTGCATCCAAACAAAATGTGATGAAAATGTAAGTGGGAAAACACAAAATAAGCCCACTTCCCACATATACTCACATAGATACTCTCTTGTAAATGAATTTCCGTCACCATATTTGCTGTGTCTATTTCAGATTATGTTGTCAAAGCATACTTATATCTATTAAATTTTCCTCTCTGATCATTTTTCCTACTCTACATTCCCTGTGCTGAGGACTTAGCACTTTATCCAGGTTTCAGTAAAACACAATCATATCACAAGAACCTAAATTGATCTTCACTTCTTATTGTCTATTTGCTGACTCTCTACCTGAACCTTGCTTCTGCATTTCCATTTTCCAGTGCATTGTTTAAAATTGAGTATAAGACATCTTCCTCCATTTCAGATCCCATGGATCTTACAGTTATGGAAAAGTTTGCATGGAATAAAATGTATCTTACTGCCTTAACATGAATACTATGTAGGCTTTCTCTTCAGTGGCATCCAAGAACTTCTACTAACTAGACTGCCACTCTCCTCTAATCTTAAAGGAATGAAAATACCTAAGACATACTCTTAGAGGTCACCATCAACATCTATGTATCCCCATGAACACATCTGCACCAGTTGTAAACACAGGAATAAAATGGACCAATTGTGCAAAATTGGAAGAATCTAAAAAATTACTCACCAAAATTATAGATAAAAATTACAAATGATTTTGAAGTCATCTTTAAAAGAAGAGGTTGCAACTCCATATTGTCACATTTGAACTTCCTAATCAGCAATAGGTAGCACAGAGAATTCCTGTCACTTAACCAACATCATATAAGGATTCTCTAGCCATTACAATCACTGACATCATTTCTTCTCAAATGAGAACTACACAATGAAAACTGCCCAAAACAATGTGTTGAATTGTAGGATATTACATCTGTAGAGAAAACCACAAAAATGTACCATCCCTGGCCAGCTAAAGGCACTGTAGAGGAACATATAGATTCAGACTATCAAATGCATAAAATAACAGGAATTAAAGCAAACTTTTTACTTTGAGAGAAGAAAAAGGGGAACAGGAATACACACCTGAAAAACAGGCTGTGAGTACAAAAGAGGGAATGCCAGGAAGGAAATAAAATTAAATTAATGTGAATCAAAACTTACTTGAGGACAATGAAATAATAATTTAAAAAATAAATTTTAAAAGCACTTACTGAATGACAGTAACTTGGTCACCTGTAAAATCAAATGATTTCTTGTGAGCATAATTAAAAAGTGGAACAAGTGCAGCAATCACCACATTTCCATCATGATATAAATGACTTTGTACTTTTGAATTGCACTGAAAAGAATCAAAGGAGTAAAAAGGAACAAGAGTCTGCAGTAGCCAGAAAAGAAAATTCCAAGAGAACATCATAAAATAGAAACGTCTACCACACTGTAAGCATGGGAGGTCATGAATTCCAATGTACTCAGCAGCTTCATATAGAGCTCATTTGTTTGTAAACACAAGAATTTGTAATATTGCTTGTGACTAAAGTCATCAGTGTAATCACATATATTGGGACAACCTTCAGCTACATTCCATGGAGAATTTTGGACAGCTTTCTTTCCTGAGACTTCCCATCTGAGGCTCTGCATTAATGATAAATAAAACAATCTTCAAAATACATTTGGGACCTTCTTAAACCACAGTCGTCAAGGATTTCATCTAAGATGACAGACACAAGACCCCAGGGATGACTCCTCGTAAATAAACTTGCCCAGAGCTCTCTACCACAAAAGCTACATGGGCCAGTAGCTCAGAATGATGCAAATACTTTGCAAGGGAAGATGCCAAGGGAGATGAGTGGAAAAACATCCTGAAAAATAACACAACCAGACATGACTCAGTGAACATCAGTGGGACACCCTGCTCTTTAAAACTGATAATTGCCTATGCCAATCTAACTTGTCAGTGTCCTGGAGGAATCTAAAATGCTTTTTTCAACAAATCTTACATGTCTGAATACCGCTATTTCTTCATGTCTCCCTATACTCTGTAATGTCTTCTTTCTCTCTCAATCTAGGAAAACTGATAGCCTGAATTCATGAATTCCAAACAAATGGCTCAATCAATGATGAGATTAAGTTTTCTTTTTATTTTTCTATCTCTGAAGTACATTGTTATAGTATTTTTTGATGCTAAAGCATTCATTCAATGTAAAATCCTGATATCTGCTACATCAAGAAAAATATGCAGCCACTATTTGTGCTTTTCTTTGAATGTAGTGTATTGAAAACACACCTTCCATTTTCCATAAATAAAAAGTAAGAGCTTATATACTCCACCCATCATGTATGAAATATTCATTCAGAATACTTTAAATGAAGTTAATGTGAAGAGTAGAAAGTGCCATAATTATAAATTAAAAGTCTGAAAAATTTCACATTCATACAATTTTCTAAGATCTTAATCATAATTTCACACAGGTTCCATTCTACTTATTACAGACCAGACTGTAAGTGGCAAAGTAGAATATAGAAGCTAGCCTCTAATGTAAGCATTGTCACACTCTTCCATTATACATCTGCTGTGTATGAAGAAGTAATTTCTGAAAACAACAATGATATTTACTGACTGTTACAAGAGGCCTGCAGTTTCTCTACCTTGAGAAAGATTAAAAGTGAGTCTTGACTTGTGTCTCCCAGATGACTCTGTTAAGCCTCTAAGCCCTGATACCTGAGAGTCCTAATTGAAAATGGGTTCTTTCATGAGGTGATCAGTGTGGATATGTTCAACATCCTTAGTCATCAGAGAAATGCAAATCAAAACAACTCTGAGATTCCATCTTACACCTGTAAGAATGGCCAAGATCAAAAACACTGATGACAACTTATGCTGGAGAGGTTGTGGGATGAAGGGAAAACTCCTGCATTGCTGGTGGAAATGCAAGCTGATACAGGCCCTTTGGATGTTAGTGTGGCGATTTCTCAGAAAATTAGGAAACAACCTTCCTCACGACCCATTAATACCACTTTTGGGTATATATCAAAAGAATGCTCAATCATGCCATAAAGACATGTGCTCAACTATGTTCATAGCAGCATTGTTTGTCATAGCCAGAACCTGGAAACAACATAAATACCCCTTGACCGAAGAAAAGATAAGGAAAATGTAGTACATTTACACATGGAGTACTACACAACAGAAAAAAATAATGACATTTTGAATTTTGCAGCCAAATGGATGGAACTAGAAAACATGCTTTTGAGTGAGGTAACCCAAATACAGAAAGACAATTCACATGTACTCACCCATAAGTGGTTTTTAAACATAAAGCAAAGAAAACCAGCCTACAAATCACAATCCCAGAGAACCTAGAGAACAATGAGGACCCTAAGAGAGACTTACATAGAGCTAATCTACATGGGAAGTTGTAAAAGACAAGATCTCATGAGTAAATTGGGAGGATGGGGACCTTGGGAGAGGGTTGAAGGGGAAGAAAGAGGTAGGGAGGGGAGCATAGAAAAATGTAGAGCTCAATATTATATACATATATATGTATGTATATATATATATAAACACTCATGTAATGTAGCATTACTAAAACAAAATATTTTGCATATAGAGGGTTAAGCTAGTTGAAATCTTTTTCAGCAAATAGTCTCTTCTGGGTAATTCAATCGAGCCATACATTTCTTCTGTATGACTGACATCATATTTTTATTCTCATTTATTAATTTATTGTGTGATATTTGGTGTTTCATATTATCACTAAGGACTTCTCATATCATCCAGTGTTTTACCATACACGTTTAAATTACAGTTCATATATCAGTATGTGAATAGACATAAAAATCCTTCTATTTTCATTAGACTTTGATGAAAAATGTGTAAGTTGGAACAAAGTGGGCCTTGAGATAGATCATAGAATAGTATGCAAAACCAAGATCTTGATCCCGAGTCAGTCTGTGTCTGACTTATTATTTTTTTTTAAAGTAGATAATTGTATAATTGGTTTGCTTGGACTTTTTTCTTTTATGCTTAGATTTTATTGTTTCTCCTTCCCATCTTCCACCCCCGCATATATCCTCAGTATTATTTTGCCGCATTATACCTACCTCATTCCCATGTGTTCTATTTCCAGTCCCTTCTTTAAATAGTTATGTTATTTCTTAAGGGAGACTACATTTCCTGCTCTCAGAATTTCTCATCCCATTTCTCTATTGGCACCTTGCATAGCAACTTCTTTACACTGAGAACTAGCCCTGAAGGAGGAGGTTTTCAAGGGAGTTCCTACAGAGGTCTCTGGGCTCTCCCTATTTTCAAAGGGCATGGTGTTTTCAGATATAGGGACTTGCATTCCGCCTCTGACAGGAGTCTTTTGTCTAATCCTAACCAACAACTCAACAGAGTGCTTCTCATGGCAGGCTTAGAGTTTTTTCTTATTTTGCCTGTGGCTTTTCAGAGAATCCTTATCAGTTAGATAGGAAATCTTTATTTAAACATATTCATATACTTATTTACATGTATTAAAGATATTTTTATCTAGATATTTAATAGTATGATTTATATGCGCCTTTTGAACACCCTTGATGTAATTTTATGCTCCTTTCTAGCATACAGAGATAGAAAGAGAGAAAGAGACAGAAAGAGACACAGAGAGAGAGGGAGGGAGACACACACACACACACACACACACACACACACACACAGAGAGAGAGAGAGAGAGAGAGAGAGAGAGAGAATTCACATCCACACTCAAACATAAATTGAGAGAAATACTATCAAGGCACATTCATACACACAGAGAGAGATGAAAACAGAGACAAAGACAGACAGAGACAGAGTGACACAAATACACACACGCCAGAAAGAGAAATTAAGAGTGAGAGAATATTTGATAAGGTAGACATTCGGGTGATGGTGATGGAAAAGGTCAGTAAATATCTCCTTTTAGTTGCTAAGTTTTAATGACCAATACCTCAATCCAGTTACCCAGAAAAAGAAAACCCAATCTCAAAACCCTGTAATAGACTAAACATGTAAAACCCATATGAAACAGGTCTCACAAGAATTATTGCATTTCATTTTTTATAATTAATTAATTTAAAACTTCCACCTCCTCTCATTCACCCATTTCCCTCCCATTCCCTCTTCCCCTTGCTCTCCAGTCCTAAGAAAAGTTAGGGTGCCCTGCCTTGTGGGAAGTCCAAGACCACCCCTTCCATTCTAGGAAGGTGTGCATCCAAACAGAATAGGATCCCAAAAAGCCAGTCCATGCAGTAGAATCAAAATCCAGTGTCATTATCATTGGCTTCTCAGTCAGCTCTCATTGTCAGCCACATTCAGAGAGTCCGGTCTGATCACATGCTCGTTCAGACCCAATCCAGATGGCCTTGGTGAGCTCCCACTAGATCAGTTCCACAGTCTCTGTGGGTGGATGCACCCCTTGCAGTCCTGCCTTCCTTTTTTATATTCTCCCTCCTTCTGCTTTTCATTTGGGCTTTATTGCATTTCTTTTACAAAAGAAAAATAAAATCAAATAATTTTTAACAATTCTTTTTTTTATAAGCTGTATATACAGCCTAGAATTTCTTTCCAGGGAGATTTTGCATCCAGATGTTTTTTCCATGATGAGTTCTCATGACATTTTACAAAAGATTATACCCTATTTTTTCAAAGAATTTTCAATTCTTTTGTTGTCCATATCCATGATGTAGACTGCTTTATAACTAATAACCAAAATTCTCCAGTGAATCAGTGCAGAACTCAAATCTACTCAGATTTTTCTATTCTAGTCTCTGTTGTAGATTTTAGAAACTGTCTTTCATAGAACATTTGTACAATTCAGCTCAACATTCATGACTCTACTTTAATATAATGTTTTTGTAACATTATTCTTTCTAACACATGACCAGGCACTCACTTACTGTTTTTAGGCCTTAGTTGTTTAATAAGATACTTCACATCCATCTTCTGTGTGTTAGAATTCTCCACAGTAAGAGGCTTGGTTTTTTAACGATGTATAAAAAAATAATTACTAAGAGAAAATTGAAAGGAGCTACTACAGTAAATATGAATTACACAAATTCCTTCAGAATCAGTCATTGGCTAAGCCAAATCTCGAAGTCTGGTTTAAAGGGTTTCTACTTTAATTGTAAATTTTAATACATTTCCTGTCTCTCTGTTCCTGAATGTCTATCGTTCCTTAACTATCAAAAAGAACTCTGAGGAGAGAGATGACGAGGGTAAAGGCCCACACTAGTAACATTCTCACATACTTTATATATTTGTATAGCATTCATTAGAAATTACAAAGTGAGGCTCAGGAGATTGGGCATTATATTTCCTTTCTTATAATTCTGTTCTCAGTCACTGGCCCCATAGTGTTTATTAGATTCCCAGATTGTTCATTCTATGAAGGAGATTGCAGGAATGAGAATTATTAAATTCTTGATAGCTTCAAACATTCCATATATGAAACTGGTTAGTCATTTGTAATGTAAAAATATCCACTTAACATATAGATCTAAGAATTTTTTAAGTCTTAGTTTGTCATAGAACAATTTTTTGGTACTTTGTCATCCATAATTTGTTAGTTTATTTTAAATTATCAAGATATGTATATCAATGTATTTGTTTCATATTTTCATTCTGTCAAAATATTCAGTATTTTGCAAAATAGCTTTTTAAATTTTATTTTTATTGAAAAACTGTTCCAAACAGTTACTGAATTCATGTTTTTGCTAGTACCAACAGTATTCTTTATTACATTATCAGCATGTGTCTTTGTAATAGCCTTTGACTCTCATGGTACCCATTCTCTTTTGTATCACATGTAATACTTGCTCTTGGTTTTCTAATTACATTTTATAAGTTCAAATCCATAACTTCTGTATAAAAGCACAGGACATAGAAGACATGTAAATATTTTATAGAGATTTAAATGTTTAATGTTCTAAGACAGATACAGCTTATTCTACAGGATTTGAACAATAGGATTCTCTGTTTTAAACCATTTGGCATGTGTGTGCTGATTATGATTAGCTTCTCAGATTGATTCAAAGGATAGTCTTAAACCACAATCATGCAGGTTTTGGTGTGGATGGTTCATGTTTCCTCCAGTGTATACATACATGTAACATGTACATAAATTTACCATGCACCTCATATATATGAAGCATCCATATGCACAAAAAGTCTTTGGTGATATGTATAGTCAGTCTCAACATGTAAATTTTGATATAAGGTAAGTTATAACTCACAAAAATAATTGCAAAGTTTCTATTTTCAAGAAGTATTTTTTTCTTTTTTGTTTTTTTGAGCTATATATTTATCTTGGCTCTTTCCCTTCCTCACCCCTCACCTTTTACTGTCTCCCATGATCCCCACTCTTGCAATTTACTCAGGAGATCTTATCTTTTTCTACTTCCTATGTAAATTGTATCCATGTATGTCTTTCTTAGGGAACTCTTTGTTGTCTAGGTTCTCTGGGATTGTGAATTGTAGGCTGGTTTTACGTTGCTTTATGTCTAAAATCCACTTAGGAGTGAGTATATATTATATTTGCTTTTCTATGTCTGAATTACCTCACTCAATATGATATTTTTTAGATAAATCCATTTGCCCACAAATTTCAAGATATTATTAAATTTTTCCACTGTATTGTGTACATGTACCACATCTTCTTTAACCATTCTTCAGACAAGGGGCATTTAGGTTGCTTCCAGGTTCTTGCTATGACATGTTTATTAGCTTAAAATCCAAAATCTATCTCATGTCAGAAGAGCCATCTGATATGGAACAGAATAAAATAAAAAAATGAGGGACTATCTTATTGTGACTAATCTCATAAATCTTTGGTTTTGAGTCTTTAGAGCTTTTCGCAAGGCATAAATATTTTTCAAAATTTATAAAATTTATATATATTACCTTTTGTAATAATATTAATGGTCATACAGGGTACTGATTAATTCTAGAAAAAGGCTTCATTTAGCTTCCTGTACATGATTTTGGGTTTGGGTCTCTATCAGGCAACTAGGAGTTAAGTTTTGTACTTTGGATGTACATAATGAAGTATAGTCCTTTAACCTCTTTGAGATCTATTGCATAAGACATTTAAAATGTTTGTTTTCTGCAGCAAACCAAGAGGTATGCCTAACAACAACATTTGAAATCCTCAAAAGTAGTATAAGGCATCACAATGACAATTTTATCAGGACTATGATAACACCACTAAGGTAAAAAACACCCCATAATATCATCTATGAATTATAAACAGCTCAGGATGATTTCAAGTAATGATCTAGCCTCACAGACTATTCTAGCCAAGTCCTGCACTTTCCCATTGTGCAGATACTAGATAAAAAGTGATATACTCTCCCAGGACTTGACAAATAACCCCAAAATTTTCTTATCAGGATCCCCTAAAGATGCCATCACTCCCATACAGCAGGAAGTAGATTTAAGAACATCAAGCCCACATTCCCAAGAAGTGGGGTGGGTGGTATTGGTTGTTCAATGGCTTATGGATATTTGTCATGGTTTGGGGGGATGGTTACAATTTGCTATTGGTAATAATCAGGAAAAAAAGTTGAACAATGGAGATGAGATTCAAAGTTCTTGTTTTGAAAGAAAAAAGGATACACACACATACATGATAGAATAAAAGGTAAGGTTATTGAATATACTCTGAAAAGATAAAGGGGGATATAAAAATGGGGGAGCAGATTATTTAATCTACTTTTAAACCAAAAAAGGAACTACCAGTTTTAAATATTTTACATTGATATGAATTTTTGCATATTCATACAAATTTAAGATTATTTTTTCTAGAACATACTGTACATGCATTTCTAATTATGTTCAAGGTATTGTACTTATATAGTTCATTTAACAATGTAATGCAATTTTCTAATTCTTGAAAGTTATTACTACCAACTGTTTAGGATAATAAGGAAATACAGGTTATTAATAAGTCACCTATTACAACAGAAGTTGTAGTCATATTAATCATCTTTTCCAGATCAAACAAATATATATTGTAGATAGACAGGTCATATCCAAACACTTTAGTGATCTGCAGAATATAGTATTTAAGATGTTTTAATAATATAGGTTCTTCTTTATGACAATAAGATATGTTTGCTCCTAGCAGCACCAATCTACTTCAGAGAAGAACATGGGCATGAACAAAACTCCACAAGGAGTTTACTTTCTTTGTGGCAAAAGCTAGCTCCTGGGCAAGAAAGTTCTATTGGCTCAATTGTTGACAGTATGCTGTTCAAATTAGACAAGCAGGACACAAAAGAATGTGACTGCCAAACATAGCCAACACAAGGTAAGACAGTCTTTCAAAAT